GTGTCCCACACAGCAAGTTGGGCCGGTGGGCAGGGGCTGCATCCCCTCCCGGCGCCCCTGGCGGAGACCCTCAGAGGACCCGCAGCAGCCTCCCCGTGGCCTCCCCTCCATGTCCCTTGCTGCTCCCCTGGTGAGGGAGGGGCAGCGCACAGCCTGCTGTAGACACCGAATGAGCATTCACAGGGGTGCAAACCAGCTAGAGCCCAACTCCTGAACAAGAGCCCCAAAACCCAAGGATGGGGGGCTGGTCCGGGTCAGGCACTGGCCACATGGAGGGCCCTCATCCCCTCCTCGTACGGGGAGCTCCTCGCCTTCCTCCGGCTGCGGCCTCGTCCAGGGCCTGCGTGGGGTCAGCAAAGCAGGTCCTGTCCTGCTCTCCTGCAGCAGGCAGAGGGGCAGAAATGAACGTGGGACTCCGAGACCTGGGGGTGGCGCTGGCCTGGTGTGGGTCTGGGGCAGGGTTGGGCGCAGGCTCAGCTCTTTAGCAATCGTTCTGAGTCCGGTTATCACCAAAGTGATGCCAGATTTTACAGGTGTCACCAGCAGAAATGAGTTACAGGGCGGTCATTTACACGGGCCTTGAAGCTGCCGGGGGCACCTGGATATGGAGCCCTGAAGATGCCTTTGATATGAATCAAGTCATCTGTTTTTGTTTTTGTTTTATGAGACAGGGGCTGTCTGTCGCTTAGGCTGCCCTTGAACTCACTATGTGGTGATCCTCATGCCTCAGCCTTCCGAGTGGGGAGATCACAGCGTGCACGCCAACCATGGCCAGTTTCCGCCCATCTGTTCGGAGATGTGTTTGTGGAATTTCAGACAAAAGCCAGGCTATTTCCTTGGGTTGGCTGAGATGATAGTTCCGGCAGCTGTAAAGGATGTTTTGAGTTTCTCCCTGGGGGATTCTCTCTTTCAACTCCCCGAGGGTCCCCACCCCCACGGTCAGGCTGCGGACATCGGTGGCCCCCGCAGCGCCCCGGCACGGAGGGGTAGGGTTTGCTTTGGAAATCAGCACGGGGAATTATCAGCCAAGCAGTGTGGTTTGATCCTTCTTCCTCGGCATGTTATTTTTCCTCTGGCCAAAGACTATTTTTATTATTTCCAGCAGAGAACGAGGCACAAACATTACAAAGTAGTGTCTTTTAAAAGTCCCAAAGGCTACAGTGATTTCTGCCAGGTGTAAACATGGCCGTGGCCACACCTCATGCCCCGGGAGGGGTTCCTCCAAACCCAGCCCAGACCCAGAATTGACCCTGGGCCGCCGGGGGCTCTCAAGCGCCCAGCCAGGTCCGGCGGTGCGGTGATTGGTGGATACGGAAGAGGAAGGCAGAGGCCCGGACTGGGAGGGGAGCTCGGGACCCCTTCCAGGCCTGGGTGTTTGGGCACTCGGGGTCAGACGCCCGTGACCGCTCAGGACTGTGGTGACCAAGCCCTGTTGCTCTCGAGCAAATCCTAAGGTGGAGCCAGACGCTCGGCCCCAGTTGCACTTACGCCTTCGGGATGGATATTTGGGCCGGAATCCAGACCCAAGCTGGGCTGCCCGGGGCAGCTCAATACCACCGTTGCCCACGAGGGGGCAGTCACACACCTTCCTTCTTGTGACCCTCCGTGTACCTCCCCAAGCCTGTCTTCGCTGGGATTAAAGCCAATGCAGTGCAATTTGGAAGGAACTGGGTAAAGAGGTCCCAAAATTCACCGAGCCCGGAAGTGGCGGGTGCGCCTTGCTTCGGGTCCTGGGGTCCTTCTCCGTGAGCTGCCCTGTGTCCCTGGGTTGGTACGGGGTGACCCTTGAGCCCATTGGGGAGTGAGTGAGAAGGGCAGTTTCCATGTGCAGTGGGGAACCTTTGCAGTGATTATGTCCCAACAGTCACTCATTAGGAACACAGACCGAGGTGGACAATTCTTGGAAAACATTGCATTTTATTTGGCTTGATTACTAGAGAGTAAACTCTTTCGTTGTGATTTAAGTCTGTGCATAAAAATGCAGGAAACCCAGGTGTTGGGCCGCATACCTGTGATCCCAGCTACTCAGGAGGCTGAGGCAGGAAGATCACAAATATGTTTGAGTGCAGCCTGAGCAACTAAGAGAGACCCTGTCTAAAACAAGACTGGGAGTGTAGCTCAGTGCGGAGCACTTGCCTAGCATGCGCGAGGCCCTGGGTTCCATCTCCAGCTCTGTAAGGAGGGAGAGGTGTGTTGAACACACAGGTACAGTCTGATTTCTTTGAAAAGCATCAATTCCCAGCATCCTCTTTGGTCTGTTGTCATAGTGATACAGGGGCACTCCCAACCTGCTCAGTGTCAGATCGGTGAGTTTGTTCCCCAAAACCAAAGAATGGGTTCTAAGGAACAACGGGGATATGAGTAGGAAATATTTATTGAGAGAGAGACAAAAAGAGAGACAGACTGAAGGGGACCCAAAAGGTGGACTGCTGTAGACCCCATTTTACAGAGGAAGTTTTACAGAGCAAAATCATGGGTACAGTGAGGGACAAAACTAGGATCAACCGATAATGTTACGAGTTTAGCTGCCTAGGTGATACTGATCCAAAGGGGAAGCAGGTCACAAGGCAAGTGTGCCTGGAAAGAATGTGGGCCTTTTTAAGCAGAGACACACTAGAGGGTTCCAGCCACCCACTGGGTGATGTCTACCAGGTGAGCAGTTTCCCAGCCATTGTTCATTGCCAGGAGGCATTTGGCCTGGTCCCTTTGTCTGTATCTTGAGGCCTGGCCTCCCACAGATGTGCCTCTGGCTGGCCACAGGTGTAGTGTGTCCTCAGCCTCTGCCCTTTCCCTTGAGGGCCCGGTCCTGTCTGACTGCCTGTAACATTTGTACCTAGCTTAGCTGTCTGTAATGATAGGCTCCCCTGTGCCGGAGGGCACAACTTCGTGTTCAGGTGGTTGGGTGCTTGACCGTTGCCCGTGCCCTCGGGTGCCAGGCTGGAGGTGAGATCCGGGAGGACAGCAGCTCTGGGGCCTATAGTCTCTGAGGGACTTGAGAAGCAAGCCCTAGGCAGAGGGCTCACCTGTCCCCAGCTGCTCCAGAGAACGGACAGTGGACACCACCACCTGCAAGGGCAGGCGGCAGAAGGCCACAGATGTCCCAGGAGGGGTCCTAACCCCAGGGACTTCCAGCAGGAAGCTCCTCTCCTCCTCCCGCGGACATCTGCCTAGGACGCAAGCCCTGGTAGGAACCAGGCCTGTCGGGTCCCTGAGGTCCCCTGGGACCTTCCCAGCCTGGAGCCAGGAGGGGGCCTAGAAATGGATGCAGGCCTATGGCAAACATGCACCTCTAATGAGGCAGCGTATAAAAAAGAAATAAAACAGAGATTAGCACACGAGCTAGGAAGTAAATATGCCCTAAGATAAAGAAACAAATGCACACACCAGGTCATGCACGTTTGCAAAATTGGCGAATTCTTTTCACATGACTTCCAGACAGCCCAGAATTTCATCTGTCTCAGCGCCACAGTAGGGATCCTCCCCCCAGCACCCCTCCTCCACCTGCACAGCTGCCCCACCACCACCACCAGGGGCTGGGGAATTCCTGGAGGTGTAGTTCCCAGGGGGACAGGCTTTCTCCCCGGGTTGACCTGCTCTTCCCACCCTTCTAGCCGGCTGGGCCTAGGGGGAAAGCGCTGCCTACTGCAAGCTCCCAGGTGCAGGGAGACCTCCAGGCCCGGTGCCCACACCCTCGGGACCTGGGGACCACCGTGCTGCGGAGACTCCGTGAGCAGGCTGCGATGGTATTTGGGTTCTGGAGCGCGGGACCCCCTCCCTTCATGACTGATTTATGGCAGGGAGCGCAGGGCTGGCGCAGGTCCCAGGAGCCAGGCCCCGCGTTGAATTCCCAGAGGCACAGTCCACAGGCCGGACCACGGGCCGCTGCTTGCGCTTCCTCTGTGGTCTCCAAGGCTGGCCCGACAGGGACCCCCGTTAGGTGACCGCGGCTCTCCAGGCCTGGAGGGGAGCTCAGGTTTGTGGGGGCACCCTGGTGATCCGCTGTGAGAGGAGGGCTCTGGAGTCTCCCCAGACCGCAGAGGCTGCAGGGGATGCTGGAGGAAAAAGGGAGGTCCAGGCCCAGCCTCGCACGATGCCCGGGCCGCCACCCAGACCGTACCCCAACTGCTCCGCAAGCAGAGCCGCCCCCAGAGACGGGGTGTCCTTGCCAGCACCCCACGCCCAGCCTTGGACACGGCAGGTGGAAAGGAGAGCAGACGTCACCGAGCCCCCGAAGGACCCCGATCCGCTGCCAGGCCACTGTCCAGAGGGCTCTGCGCAGAAGCGAAGAGCCCAGCAGGAGGCTGGGGATCACAGTGCTCGGAACCGGGCGGGGGTGGGGGCGGGGTGCCGGAGGTGCGCAGGGCGGCCGAGGCTGTCGGCGAGGCGGAGGGGGGCCCACGCGGGGGTGGGGAACGAGCCGACGAGGCCGGTAAGGGAGGAAGCGGGGCTGGCGCTGGGGTCCGCGCAGTGCTCTCTTTGCGGGGAGTCAAGCCACAGCCCTCCGGCGCTCGGACCAGACCTGGGCTTTCAGCCCAAGACGAGCAGGGAGCCGAGGGGGCTGCGCGCGGGGCGGGGGTCCGGGCGCGCGGGATGGGCTGTGGGCGTGGCCGGAGGCGTGGCGGGCGGGGCCTAGG